GTGTGTGTGTGTGTGTGTGTGTGTGTGGGTGTGTGTGTGTGTGTGTGTGCGTGTGTGTGTGTGTGTGTGTGTGTGTGGGTGTGTGTGTGTGTGTGTGTGCGTGTGTGTGTGTGTGTGTGTGTGTGGGGGGGGGGGGGCAATGACCTACAGAGGGCTCTTCTCTCACCCTTGCAAGCACTTCTACAAACACAGCAGAGCATCCTGTGAGAAGCACACAGACTCATGCTAAGTTTGGTCACACGAGGGTGGGCAGGACTGTGTGAAGAGACGAGATGGTCTGAAAAGACTTAATGACATAAAGAAGGTCAACGCGGGAGAAAAAAAAAGGAGGGGAGGTAAAAAAAATAACTCCAGAGAAGAAGGTGAAAGGAGGAAAACAAAAATAGATGGAGATTTAATTATATAGGACAGTGCTAAAACTAATGAGCTTTAGAATGCAGTTTATAGTTTTACTAATTAACTGATGATCAAGTGATGAAGTTATTTAAGATGTTCAGGAGAAGAGCTGCAGCAGTAATTTGAAGACAATCTGAAGACATGAAGCTCATTAATTAAAAAAAGACAAAAACTTTGGGTTTTAGACTTGTGACAGAACAATAAAAGTGAAAAAGCTTAATTGTTTGCATTCTTTTAATTTTTTTGTTTAAATTCAACAAGATCTTAAATGTCTTAAATGAACATAGTTTACTCCTTGCCTAATTAACATTTAAGTCCTAATTAATATATGAAGAATAAGGACATATTCTATGTATTTTGACTTTTTTCATTACTCCTCAAATACAAAACCATTCATCCAATGGTTGAACGTGCTGCTCATTTCAAAGACCAATGTCCAAGTTCATGCTCAGCTGCATCACGACTACAGCTAAGACGGAGTCAGCATCCTGCTTAAGTACTTTTCAGCCGAAGTCTAAACCAGTTCCAACATGCCAGGCCCATTTTACTGTTCTGTTTTCATATTAAACAGCTGCGGTCATGATCTACGGCTGGTAGATCCAACCTTTGGGCTTCTTCCTGAGTTTTGGTTTTTGATCTGTCCCGGGTGGGGAGACAGGAAACAGACACTTCTGTCTTTCTTGTTTTATAACAGACACCCGAGCTGAACTGACCATCCATGTCTCTGACCACCTGGCCCAGAAGCTGGAGCTCACTTGACCCCAACTCACCTACTGCACACCTGGGGGTCAGACAGAAGGAAAGAATAGACTTTCTCCATTCTTACAATTTTTAACCGACAGGTAACAATACAAACATAACCTCACTGTTTATTCACAGCAAGAACTCGTAAAATACCTGCTTTTTGATGTGTAGTTTAACCATGATATTAACCTGAAAAGCTCAGCATAAAATAAAAAAGACATTACATTAAAATCAATAAATGTGGTTAGATTAGTAACTTTTTGTACTCGTCTAAATGCAAATTCAAATTTTGTGTGTTTTTTTTAAAATAAACTCATAAGTATTTGATTTCATAAAGACAATAAATGATAATAAATAGTGGTAAAATATTAAGATTTATTAAGTTTTCTTTAGGATAAGGCATAATGTGTCACGTGATTAGAGTTTACTTATGACTGATGCATTATGGGTTGTATTCGATGTGAAAAAGACGAGCACACAGTCTTAACGATGAGGTCCACAGCTACACTCCTTGAAGTGGCCTTTATTATACTTTTAATGTTTCAATTCTTTATTCATTTCATTAAAACAAAACAAATAATTTCATATATCAAAATCCCAAATAAAATGAAAGGCAGCAGAGAGGAGAAAAAAATCTTATAATATCTGCCCCTTTTTCCCAAGAATAAGTTCATATAACAAAAAATCGATTTAATTAACAAAACAAAAGACAAGAACATCTAATCCCTCTAGAACAACAATTTATATAGATACACATTTCTTTAACAATCCGACTTTTATCATTTTCTTAAATGTACATAATGATCCTGCATTTTTTTACATCACTTCCCAATTTATTCCATAGTTTTATTCCTT